ATGCAGATTATGAAGATACAAATGATAGGAAATGATTAAATCTAGAATTGACGAGTTTAAGTGTCCTGGGAAGTATTCCCTCGGGAGTTTGTACTACAAAGTAGCTCTCTGAAGAGAACTCCCATTTTAACAACTGAATACGAATGGAATTATGATGATTCACCCAGTGGTAGATAGCATGGCGGGTGTTAGCGGTAAATGTATGGACTTGCGAAACTAGAGAATGTATCTTGTCCGAAAATTTTCTATCAAAATAACGATAGAGTTGCGATATCCTTGCGTCGTTGCTCTTGTGTGAATTCAGCTGTAGGGTTGAAAATTATTCATAGTCTGCAAGGCCGTGTAAACGTTTTTGAAGTCTGTCGACGCAGCAAAGAGATGATTGTGTAGCTACAGTCCAGATGTTGCAGCAATGTTCCATTTCTGGTCTGATCTTACTCTTAGAATTTCATCTTTATTTTGATCGATGAATAGTTTTTTGTAAAAGGTCGTGCAAATATTTCCTGTCTTGTCACTTTAGTGTGTGTATATATCTAAATATGTCTGCATGCTTATGTATTATAATCTGATTGTGTTTGTATTGTCTTTCACAAGATGTGATAATCCAATGTATACACTTGTATCCTTGTTGTCATTAAGTTAAGGGCAGTTGATTTTAATGTTTATTCCAACGTAATTTCAATAGAAACAAAATGAATAGAATAACATGTATTTTTTTCTTTTTTCCTCAATAATTTTAAAATTTTAAACTTAATATAGATTAAATTTACATTTTTGAAATGGGTAGTTTTTAATTTTAATTTCAAATTTTATCGTACAATTTAATACTTATTAGTTGGAATAAATTCTATTTTAGTATAAACCTAACTTTAAAGCATTTAATAGTTATTATAAGCTTACTTCGTTGTCAAGTTTTTTGAATTCTCGTATACTTGTTTTTTTGATTGGTCATTTCAGCTCAAGTAACAGCGCTTCCCCTTACGAGGGGTGGTTAATTAATTTGAACTTTTTAAAACCTTTATTCTACAATTTACATTCAGCATCATCAGAGGTGTTGATAGAAAATGACTATGTTTGTATTGATTTTATAACATTTATGTAATAATTTTTAAATAAGTAATTATATTCGCTCTACTTTTTATTGAGCACTGTTTTAAGAATAGTAACTGCTGGTTATTAGAATTTATTCCGTATACACCAATCATATACTTGTATATATATATATATATATATATATATATATATATATATATATATATTAAGATAACAAATTCGTCGGTATATAATCGAAGTGGATCCTAGTAATGTAAAATATTATAACTGATCAACAAAAAGTTAACAATGTATTTATTATAACAGAGCAAATAATTAAAAAACAATATTTCAGCATTTGTTTATTTTCGGAAGAAATAAATAGATTATATGTGCCGTCATAATGTAATCATGATTTTCTAAATTCCTGGTAATCTGACAATAACAATTGTTGAAGTGCCGAATAAATTTACAATTGAAAAAAAAAGACAAAAAAACTTTTGAAATAAAATAGTCTTAGAAAAATGGTGCAGATGATACATTCCCCAGTGTCTCCTGACGTAAAAAAAATGTCTACATTACAAACAACACACTATATTGTGATTACAAACGTAAATATGAAATCTTTCTCAGACTTAACCTGTAGAAAAAGACAATATATATAAAGGTAAAAGACAATAGGAAAAATACATTATTAGGCGACGCGTTTCGTTCAATGTGAACCTTTTCAAGGTGAAAACGAAATGAATTTATTGAAAACAAATTAACTATTAAAAACAAGCAAAACGTCCTTAGCAACTAGAAGAATGTACAAAATGCTATTGTATTGCATTGTATTTTCAGTTGACAATATGCAAACGTATTTAAGCAGAGGAAAAATATTAAGTTTGTTGAATTAGATTTTATTATAAATACAAACTTTAGAAAATTATTCCAATGTTTCTCTCATAGTTGCTTTTATGTATTTATGCCTAGAGTAGCGATGGCCAAATTGGCAAGTATATGGAGGAGCAAAATCAGCTTTCAAGCGAAGTACAGATTGTACAAATCGCTGGTAGTCTCCGTTCTCATATATGGATGTGAAACGTAGACAATGTTGGCAGAAACAGAGAGAAGGATCCAAGCGTTTGAGAACAAATGCATGGGAAAACCTCTTGGCATCTTCTATTGGGAAAATAAAACCAATGATTTTGTGCGAAAAAAGGGTTGAATGTCTTGTGGACCACAATGAACCTAATCTCGCCATTGTCAAACGGAGAAAAATGGCGTGGTTTACACACGATGACCTGTGCAAGGTCATCATGCAAGGCACCGTTGAAGGTGGACGAAGGCGAGTATACCAACACAAGAACTGGTTGGACAATATCAAACAATAGATAAGTATGACTACTGATGGCTGTCATTGATAGGCCATTGTGAAGGAGATTCAGTGTGGTTTCTGCATTAGGATTGCTCTCTTTGATTACAAAATCCAAGGGGATGATGATGATGATGTCTAGAGTACAACATTGAAGTAAACTTAGCAAAATAATAAAAATAACTTCAGAAAATAAATGTTTATAAATGTTTTTATACCGAAAGATTTAAAGAGAATTAATATTAGAACATAGTTTTCTCTCTCCGTAGGATGTGCGATCGGCTAGTTTAACAAAATATATTTGAGACGATATTTAACTATTTGGACTAAGTGTCAACACCAACACAACTGCCTTCAATTACTCTATTTTGTATCAGATTAGATTGAAGGCCTTTTACGGATACACTCGGATGGTAATAGAGTCATAGACGGGTCACATCTAAATATCAACAAGATAATCAACCTCTTACGATCCCTAGAAAATAAAACAAAAACAGGTAAAATTTGTAGATTGAAGGAAGGAAATATATGCAATTTTGCGCAATCGATTCAATTCAAGAAACTCGATGACCTATGCTGCTAGACTGGAAGACAAGGCATCGTCGGCTAATCGATACATTGATTTTAGTTCCAGAAGAAGCCAAGTTAAACATATAACGTTTTTGCAGTGACAGTTTCTATTCGATGTAGAATAATGTATCTAAAGTCAAAGAAAAGATGAACAAAAAATGATTTAATAAGGATGGGCAAGAAATAAGTTACACTTGAGGAAGGGAATCTTAATTTCTAATTTTATCAGATTTGCCTGTCTTTTATTTAATTTCAAACAAGAGTGCTTATTAAATCAATGATATGTTCGTGAATTGAAATCAAATTTGTTCGCCACTGGTTCGTTTTCATATTATTAACAAACAGCAAGGAGTTCAAGAAAGAATTAATTCCTCCCTGGTCGACAATGCTCGTCGTTGGTCAAGTCTAGTAAAAGTTCAAATACAACGCTATTCATCATTCTCCATTTTAAGGAGTTTTTCGGGGTTGTTTTTAAAGGTCAACCCATGAAAGATATTAAAGCTACTAAGACACAAGGGGTTAGAAGGATGTGGAGAATTAGGAACAGAAACATTAATAATGAAGAGGAAAGGGTAATCAGGAAGACAGTAGACAGCGAATGATATTGCTTTTCATTTTTTGTAGATTAATCAAAGCATAGAGCCAGAAGTAAGTTCTACAAAGAGAAGTGCGAGAAAAGAAACTGTTAGAACCTAGGGCTGCATCTAGCCAACTTAAATGTAAAATTACGAGATCTCGACGTCAGTCTAGTACTGCGCTTAATTTCAAAACGTCTCCGTGCCATAGCAAAGAGTTCATGAAAGTATTTATAGAAAAGACACAAAGTAGCAACCTTAAGGCTGTGGGAAATTGACTGAAGGCAAGTCGCCAGATAATGACCAGTAATATTCCTATTCTTCTTTGGTCTTTATAGAGGAGCTCAAGGTAAATGAGAGTCGCCGGATCTTATGTGGTAGCAATTTTCTAAGCATGGACGAATGGTAGACTTATAAATATATTCTGGAGAGAAAGATTGTCTCGAACGACATAGTGAACCAAATTTCTTAGCAGCTAACCCAGCAATGGATTTAATTTCGTCTTTCCACTTCATGTCATCTGAGAACGTTACCTCGAGAAGGCACAACTAGTCGCTTTCCTGGAGGCTAGCATCAGCCATACTGAGATGATTAATGGAGAGAAGTTTAGATTTAGAGTCGTTAATATTAACAATCCACCTTATTCCCAAGCTAACGACAGACTTTATATCGTTTTGGATAAAAACTAAATGTAAAATTTCAAACCTCATCAGTATTACGAAAATTGGAAAATGAGACTCATAATGTTTTAATCCTCCTCCCCAAATGTATTTTATCCGTGTAAAGGCACATGTATGAGGATTTATGCTGGAATCAAATCCGACCCCATCCCAAACGAATCAAGAAACAAAGAAGATTTTTCCTGCTTTTTTCATCTCGAGGCCAGTGATGATGAACTTGACTCTGCTGATGACATAGGTATACATAATTGGGATAAGAATGATCTTGAACAAAACAACTTTCTCTAAAAAGTGTTCGAAAAAAAAATTGATAAACCTTTCCGAAACATAATTCTTTGTACCGGCTGAGGTGATTTTTTTTAAGCAGATATTTTTAAGTAATGCAGTAGATATTTTTAAGCAATGAAGTTGATATTTTTAAGCAATGAAATAGATATTTTTAAGTAATGCAGTAGATATTTTTAAGTAATGCAGTAGATATTTTTAAGTAATGAAGTAGATATTTTTAAGTAATGCAGTAGATATTTTTAAGTAATGCAGTAGATATTTTTAAGTAATGCAGTAGATATTTTTTAAGTAATGCAGTATATATTTATCTAATTCTGTCACAGTGAAAAATGAAGTGAAAAGACCCTGGGACTAACGTATTCCATAAATCCCTACGGTGGTTCCGGATTCAAAATATTTGCTTTTAGTAGGCTTTCTAATATTAACCACTGTTACCAAAGAAAAAGACACAACTGCCTACTTCACCAAGTAGAATACTTCAATGTAAAGAAACTTTCATTAACTGAAAGTAAGAAAAGAAAGAAAGTAAAGAGAAAGAAAAAAGAAAAAGAAAGAAAAATGGAGTAAAATGGGAAATGAAATACAAAAAATAAGAAAAGTAAAAAAGAAAGTAAAAGAAAGAAAGTAAAAAATAGGCAGAAACGTAAGTAAAGAAGAAGAAAGTGAAAGAGAGAAACGAATTAAAAAGAAAGAAAATATCGTTAAAAAGAAGAGAAAAGAAATATAATAATTAAAAAGGAAAAAAGAAAAAACGAAAGTGAAAAAGGAACGATGAAAGAAAATGAATGAAAAACAATGAAAGAGAAAAGGAGAGAAATAAAGAAATGAAGAGAAAAACAAAAGACGAAAAGAATGCTTCCATGCAAGCCACTCAATGAAAAATGAAAGAAAAGAAAAGGAAAGATATATAAAGAAGAAGAGAGTAAGGAATGGAGAAGACTCACAAAAAAAAAAGAAAAAAAGAAGGAAAAGAAAAAGACACAACTGCCTACTTCACCAAGTAGAATACTTCAATTTAAAGAATCTTTCATTAACTGAAAGTAAGAAAAGAAAGAAAGTAAAGAGAAAGAAAAAAGAAGGAAAGAAAACAAGATAATAAAAAAGATAAAATCTACTTAAACGAAAAAAAAAAAACAAAAAAAAACAACTGGCATTCGAAGAAAGGAAAAGTAAAAAGAATTGAACAAATGTGGAAAATGAGAAGGATTTCAACAAGGAAGGAAGAGAAAATGAATCGGGAGAGAAGAGAGAATTTGATAAAAGCGAGGCATGAGAAGAAAGGAGAAAAGGAAAGAGAGAAGGAATAAGACTGATTGGCAAAGAAAAATGTTGAAAAACTGCTGTAGCCTTGTTAGGGCCAGAAATAAAGACACAAGGGAGGATTTGAGTTAAACAAATTTATTAACAGAAACAGTAATACAAACATATACAAACGAGTGTTACAGCAAGAATGTTCGGTCCGAAAGTCAGAGCTGACTGCTGGAAACATCCCTCTCATATTTACAACTGGGAGAGTCCATGCGTGCGTGGGTAAATTACCATAACAAAAATGAATGACAAAATTGCTTAAAACTTAAAGTAGAACATTGCAATAAAGAAAAAAAAATGAATGAAAAAAAAAAAATGAATGAGAGAAACGGAAAAAGTAAAAGTTGTTTAAAAGTGAAAAAAAAAGTTTCATATTAATTATTAACATACGGAAAGAAAGCAAGAAATAAACAAAGACAATTGAATGAATGAATAAATGGGAGATACGAAAAAAGTAAATATTGTTTAAAGAATAAAAGAAGGGTTGTAATATGAAGCAGGAATATGTAGAAATGGTGAAAAAAGCAATAAAGAAAAATGAATGAACGAATAAAAGATTTTCAAAAGTAAAAATTATTTAAAAAGTAAAAGAAAGAAAGGTTACAACATAGAGCTTGAAAATACAGAAAGAAAGAATGAAAGAAAGAAAGAATGAAAGCAATCAAGAATGAAAGAAAAAAGAAAGAAAGAATGAAACCACTCAAGAATGAAAGAAAAAAGAAAGAAAGAATGAAAGCAATCAAGAATGAAAGAAAAAAGAAAGAAAGAATAAAAGCACTCAAGAATGAAAGAAAGAAGAAATAATGAATGAAAGCACTCAAGAATGAAAGAAAAAAGAAAGAAAGAATGAAAGCAATCAAGAATGAAAGAAAAAAGAAAGAAAGAATGAAAGCAATCAAGAATGAAAGAAAAAAGAAAGAAAGAATGAAAGCAATCAAGAATGAAAAAAAAAAGAAAAGTAAGAATGAAAGCAATCAAGAATGAAAAAAAAAAAAGAAAAGCAAAAAAATGAAAGCAATCAAGAATGAAAGAAAAAAAGAAAAAAGAAATGAATGAAAGCACTCAAGAATGAAAGAAAAAAAGAAAGAATGAATGAAAGCAATCAAGAAATGAAAAAAAAAAAGAAAGAATGAATGAAAACTCAAGAATGAAAGAAAAAGAAAGAAAGAATGAAAGCAATCAAGAATGAAAGAAAAAAGAAAGAATGAATAAAAGCAATCAAGAATGAAAGAAAAAAGAAAGAAAAAATGAAAGCAATCAAGATTGAAAGAGAAAAGAAAGAAAAAATGAAAACACTCAAGAATGAAAGAAAAAGAAAGAAAGAATGAAAACACTCAAGAATGAAAGAAAAAAGCAAGAATGAAAACACTCAAGAATTAAAGAAAAAAGAAAGAAAAAAATGAAAAACACTCAAGAATGTAAGAAAAAAGAAAAAAAAATGAAAAGCACTCAAGAATGAAAGAAAAAAGAAAGAAAGAATGAAAACACTCAAGAATGAAAGAAAAAAGAAAGAAAAAATGAAAACAATCAAGAATGAAAGAAAAAAGAAAGAATGAATGAAAGCACTCAAGAATGAAAGAAAAAAGAAAGAATGAATGAAAGCACTCAAGAATGAAAGAAAAAAGAAAGAAAGAATGAAAGCAATCAAGAATGAAAGAAAAAAGAAAGAAAAAATGAAAGCAATCAAGAATGAAAGAAAAAAGGAAGAATGAATGAAAGCACTCAAGAATGAAAGGAAAAAGAAAGAAAGAATGAAAGCAATCAAGAATGAAAGAAAAAAGAAAGTAAGAATGAAAGCAATCAAGAATGAAAGAAAAAAGAAAGAAAAAATGAAAGCAATCAAGAATGAAAGAAAAAAGAAAGAATGAATGAAAGCACTCAAGAATGAAAGAAAAAAGAAAGAATGAATGAAACACTCAAGAATGAAAGAAAAAAGAAAGAAAGAATGAAAGCAATCAAGAATGAAAGAAAAAAGAAAGAATGAATGAAAGCAAACAAGAATGAAAGAAAAAAGAAAGAAAGAATGAAAGCAATCAAGAATGAAAGAAAAAAGAAAGAATGAATAAAAGCAATCAAGAATGAAAGAAAAAAGAAAGAAAAAATGAAAGCAATCAAGATTGAAAGAGAAAAGAAAGAAAAAATGAAAACACTCAAGAATGAAAGAAAAAGAAAGAAAGAATGAAAACACTCAAGAATGAAAGAAAAAAGCAAGAATGAAAACACTCAAGAATTAAAGAAAAAAGAAAGAAAAAATGAAAACACTCAAGAATGTAAGAAAAAAGAAAGAAAAAATGAAAGCACTCAAGAATGAAAGAAAAAAGAAAGAAAGAATGAAAACACTCAAGAATGAAAGAAAAAAGAAAGAAAAAATGAAAACAATCAAGAATGAAAGAAAATGAAAGAAAGAAAGAATAAAAACACTCAAGAATGAAGAAAAAAGAAAGAAAAATGAAAACACTAAAGAATGAAAGAAAAATTGAAGAATGAATGAAAGCGCTCAAGAATGAAAGAAAAAAGAAAGAAAGAAAGCACTCAAGAATGAAAGAAAAAAGAAAGGAAGAATGAAACACTCAAGAATGGAAGAAGAAAGATAGAAAGAATGACATGAGTAATCAGCATGAATTTAAGCGAGCTACCCGGCTGGTATCTCGGTCCCACCCTTTTACTGTCAAAACGGTTTAATGTAACCGTCTCTTCTACTCAAACAGCTTCTTCTCTCGCACTTCCCGACTGTGGAACTCCATTCTTCTTGCTTGCTTCCCCGATGGCTATAATCTTCAAATATTCATGTGTATTTATCAATTTACATCTGACGCCCTGAGCTTGTTCCTCGACGTTTTCTCTACCCTTTCCTCAAACACGCCTCTTTAATCTTGTTCTCAATCCTCTGTGGCACTCCCACCTTGCTTGGGGTGAATTGCTCAAAAAAATAAAAATAAAAGATTCATTGATTCTCTGTTATACAAGGTTATACTTTGTTGTTAAACGACTCAACTATTTTGCTGGGGAAACAAATATCGATATTTAAAATATAGTTTGAAGGCATGTTATATTATGGGTTAAAGTGCTCAATATCAGAGATAAGGCATATGTAAATATAAGATATAAAAGTGGATGTTGAGTATTTCAATGTCGACATTTATAATTTTGTTGTGGAGATGAACACATCTCTCCAGAAGAGGACTCGGACTTGTCCAAATTCGTACATACGGACGCCGAGAGTCGTAAGAGAAAGGAGTAAACATGTAAAAAGTTAGAGATCTATTTTATCTGCTTACTATTTCAGCAAGACTACGTCGACTTCAAGCGACATTCTACTTCTTGATTGAAAGATGTTTCAGATGTCGATTGGATACAGTGTTGGCTGGACTAGAAGGTACTGTCACTTACATCGATGATAGCTGGTCACGATAGACGATATCAAAATTACCAATAATAGCGTTCTTCAAGGCAATGAAGACAAAACAGTGGCGACGAAGATTCGAATTCGCACGAAAAAAACTCTTTCCTCTCGCTTAGTATAAATAACTGGTGAAATACGGGTGTTCACAGAAAAAAAAAATCGGAGGTGTTCGTCTACATTCATAAAACGAAGTCCATAAACTTCAAAGCTGTATGATATACAGCCATTAAGAAAACAAAATACACTCTGAAAAAAATTGAACATATTTATTCAGCAACTATTAAAACAAATGTAAACTGACTGAATATCAAGAACAGATAAAATCAATCTTTGTGAAGGAAGGATCAGACACTACGTCAATTCCGTCGCTAATTCATTTAGTGAATTTTATTACCCCCCCCCTAAAAAAAAAAAACATTAAATTCCTATCATACTTCAGAAGATACGAGGCCATTTTTCAGAGAATAATGTCAAGAACGGTTGGATAAAAAGAAGGTACGTCTTCTGTTATGAAAATTGTGCCCCACTGAACATGAAAAATATCAGAATTTCATTTTGCTGAATAGTCCAGAAACAAGAGTCATTTCACGAAACAGCGTCAATATTATCGAAAATCCTTGGTGAAAAGAATTCACTGATTTCTGCACGTGCATGAACCTTACTAAGGACGAAAATGAAGATTTTGACATATATACCAGTAAATACTCACGACTATTTACAAAAAAAGGATTCAAAGTTAACAATGTTGCGGAAGAGAGTCAAAAATTATCAACGTAAAGCACGATACAGTCAAAATCAAGCAAAATGTCACGAAAGAAGTGCAAATATTTAGGAAAATGATATTACTATCAACAGGAAAAATCCGGAATGAAAATATTGCAAAACTTAATCCATGCGATGGCTGTGGTATTTCAGAAAGGCCTATTCATTTTTATATAAATATATATATATATATATATATATATATATATATATATGTGTGTGTGTGTGTGTGTGTGTGTGTGTGTGTGTGTGTGTGTGTTTTAAGTGTGGAAAAACAAGACACGAATGAAGATACGGAAAGTCGAAAAGCAAAAGAAATATACATATATTAACTTGCTGAAAGTAATGCTTCCAGCTAATAAACTGAAATAATAGAAAATCCATGACAGTACAAATGAATAACGCTACGTTGAAATTTCAGTTGGACACTAGCAGAGATATTACAATTATTGATGAACAAATTTGGAACAGAATTGGCAAGCCTAACTTGAGAAATATTGGAAATGTTGCAAGATGATTATCAGGTAAGAATTTTTTCTTGTGAAAATTACGTGTGCCATCGCCCTTGCGGGTAAAACAAATAAAGAATATGTTTACGTATAGACAAATTCCAACACGAATTTACTTGGCGTCAAATGGGTAGAATTACTTGAACTATGGAATTGGTCGATTAATTCTCCAATTCACTGTCGAAAAATTGATTGTTCGTCAGAGAAAAAGATTACAGCTAAAGAAATACCGAGTACACTAAAAAACAAATTCAAAAATATTTTCTCAGGGGAGTTGGGAAAATGTACAATGTCAAAAGCATTTTTTAAATTGAAAGAAAATCTGATACCAATGTTTAAGCCTAAAAGAAAAATACCGTTTGCTACATTGGAGTCTGTTAAAACCGAACTGTATAGGTTACAAGACCGCCTAGTTATTTAAAAAATAGATTATTCAGAATGGTCCCCATCAGCGATTTATATTAGAAAGAAAAATAACAAGATTCGTTTATGTGCCGTTTTTAACTGAGTTGAATAACTACCTCCTAACACATACATATCCCTACAAGTTTAAAAGATTACCCTTTGGTGTAAAAGGAGCCTCAGGTATTTTCCAGCAAAATAATGGATACAGTGTTGGCTGGACTAGAAGGTACTGTCACTTACATCGATGATATACTTATTAAGAGTGCTAAAAAAAAAGAACACGTAAAACTGATTCAGCAAGTATTTCAGAGACGACATGATCGCGGTTTCAAAATCAATGAACAGAAATATCAATTCATTCTGGAGAAGATTAAATATTTAGGTCAAATAATCGACGATAAAGGAAGAGGACCAGATCCCGTTCGAGCAAGTATCATTAAAGATATGACTCCCCCGACAAATTTGGTAACCCTAAAATCATTCCTCAGATTAGCGAATCATTATAATATTTATTTGCCAGAGAGGTACAAATTGCGAGCACCTCTGAAGAATTTACTTCAGATGGGTACGAAATGGAATTGGTCGGTGGAATGTCAAAAAGCTTTCGATAGAATTAAAAAATGACTAAATCAGAATTATCGCTGACACGTTAAAACCCGCAGCAATAGATAATAGTAGCGTCGGATGCGAGTGAATACGGCATAGGAGCGGTAATAGGCTATACATTTGAATACGGTACAGTAAAACAATCGTTCACACTTCAAGAAGTTTGATAAAAATAGAAAAATATGATACGGTCAATTTAAAAAAAGAAGCGTTTGCTATAATTTTTGCACTAATGGAATTTCCCAGGATTATATAAGGAAGAAAATTTATACTGCAAACTTATCATCGCCTATTATTAAGCATATTCGATTCCAGGAAAGGTATTCCTACAGATACTGCAAACTGACTATCTCGTAGGGCAAGATTTTGTTGAAACATGACTTCAAGATAGAATTTCTATCGTCAAAGAAATTGGGATACGCAGATATTTTATCCAGGTTTATATCGAAATCTAAAGACGATTTGGAAGATACTGTGATTGCTTCGCTGTAACTAGAAAAGGAAATTAAAAGCCTGATGTGTAATACTATTAAAGAATTGCTGGTCACGATAGACGATATCAAAATTCATTCTAAAAATGATACCTTTATTCAAAAAATTATGAATGACATTAAGTCGAAATGGAGTGAAACTAAACTTAAACTTGGTAACAATAATACCACATTTTCTATTTGTGATGGAGTACTTTTGTACGTGGAAAGAGTAGTAAATTAATTATTACTAAAAAGAATTGAATTAAAACACGTAGGTCATCGGAGAATAGTAAAAATGAAGTCCTTGAGGAGAAGCTACGTGATATAAGATATCCAAAAATGTAATGGCTGTTGTCCAGCAACAGAATCACCACCTATAAATTACAAGGCGTGGTCGCGCTATGATAAACCTTGGTCAGGATACATATGGATTTTGTTGGACCAATAAATCGTTCATACTATGTAACTGTGGTTGACAGTTTCACAAAATGGGCCGAGACATTGAACTGCAAACGTCTTACTACTGCAATAATAATTCAATTCTTGCGCGAATTTTATGCAAGGTACCTGACAGTGTAGTATCTAATAATGGAACACACTTTACTTCTAGTGAGTTGTAAAATTTCTGCAAAAGCTACGCGATTGAATACTTGACTACGCCGATTTATCATCCAAGATCGAACGGTTAAGCAGAACGGTTTGTGAACAAACAAAAGAGTATTAAGAAAAGCTAAAGGCTGAAGGTGAAGAAAGGGCACTACAAGACTTTTTGAGCGTGTATCGAATGACGTCAAATGCAAACGTCACTGCATTAATATCACCTGCAGAGCTCATGTTTGCTAGAAAAGTTAGATCCATATTTGACAAATTATTTCCCGTGAATAAAAAGAAATTTCTACAATTTCAACAAACCAGACAATTAAGGATCGGAGATAAAGTTTTCTTTAAAGGTTTTAAGACCGGAAAAGAAAATTGGAAGGAAGAAAAAATTATTCAGCGCCTTGGTAGTCGATTTCGCCATACGAGATATATAGATTGAAGTTTAGATATGCACAGAATAAGCAGTACAACTCAATTTACAGTTGGACATACATTACGATACTTTTGAAGTAATTCCTAAAACTAAAATTACAATACAATGTCAGGGTAAGCGAACACGGAATCCAACTGAAACGTTGTAAGTGGACCCATGTCGGAAAAAGTATCGACTAAAGAAAGTGCATATCTAAAAAAAAGGGGTGTTGTAGAGATGAACACGCCTTTCCAGAAGAGGACTTAGACTAGTCCAGAGATAAATACGGACGCCGAGAATCGTTAGAGGAAGGAGTAAACAAGCAGAGAGTTAGAGATGTAGTTTATCGGCTTACTACCTATCTCAGCAAGACTACGTCGTGTCCGAGCTACGTACTCCTTCTTGATTGGGTTTTAAAATTCAAAGCAATGAAGAAATAACAATTTTATATACAGCGTGAACCTAAAGTCTGGATACATAGGGAATCTCATTAACTATATTTTTAGCCCCACGGATTAAACATGCTTTTGTCGAAAGAAGAAAGAATTGTCTTCTTTTTATTGGGTATGTTAACGAAGAAAGATTATTCAATTAAAATAACAGATGCAACACACTTGATTGAATGCATAAAAAATAAATGTACTAAAGAGGACACAATATATAGGAAAAAAAACACACACACACAATGGCTTTTAAATGTTAAGATTATAATTACAATCCAAATGATTAGTGATTCAAACGTGAAATTTAAACTAAAATTTAAACACTCATATACCACGGTGAACATCAACTAGAAAAAGAAAAAAATCAAAAGCAAGATTAGATGACGTAGATACTTATAAGAACAGACAATGAAAGAAGAAAAAAATTCAAATGACCAATTCAAACAAAAATTTAAAATGGCTGAAGACTACGATTCCAATGGAATAAATTATGACCATGGAATATTAGTGTTTAAGCCTTTTTATTATATCCTTACTCTGTCCTAGACATTGAGTTCTACCTGGATCCTTCCTCTTGGAAAAATTTTTTTCTGAAAATATACATGTATGGAAATTTTTTTAGATATATATATTTTTCATATGTATGTATATTTTCCACTAATATTATCTATATATATATATATGTATATATATATATATTAAAGAATATCAAACACTTAAAATCCCATAGGTAATAATTTTTATTTCATGAGAAGTATTTATTTTAAAAAGCAGCTCTCAAGCTTCAAGTCCTACAAGCAAATCACCTGATTTGTTTGTTTACCTATGGGATTTTAAGAGTTTGATATTCTTTAATTAATAATAAGTTTGCTCTGTCTTTTAACATAGAGCTCTCTCTGGATCTATATCCTCCTGGAAATTGCATACGGATTGCCATATTGTATCATTACTATATATATATATATATATATATATATATATATATATATATATATATATATATATATATGTATGTATAGGATTCGTGTATACGGAATTAATTCCAATAACTAAAAAAAACTATTCTTAAAAGAGTGCTCAATACAGAGTAGAGCAAATGTAATTTATTCGAAAATTATAACAAGAATATGTTATAAAATCACTACAAAAATAGCCATTTTGTTTCAACACTTCTGGAGTCTTATCAAGTGATGGTGTTGAATATTTTTTTTTATATAGCAGGCTGCAAAAAATTCTTTTAAATAATCCTTGAAGCAGCATACATCCATATATAGATACATACATACAAACATGCACACATGAGTTCTTTAAACTTTGCTATTCTTCTAGAAGAGTGCTCATTATCGGAGTAAGTTCAATACGAGCAGCTTCTTCCCACAAACCACTGCTTTGTGGAATGAGGATTCTTCCCTGATCAAGAAAATCTTAAGCTGTTCAAGTGTAAGATTAACAATTATCTTCCTCACATGTCCACATAAACGGGGCTTTTACACTGTGACGCTCTACCTTGAGTGGTTCCCTGGTCTTTTACAGATTTCTACATTCAACACCATAACTTGATAGGACACCTGAAGTGTTGAAACTAAATGGTTAAATTTGTAGTGATTTTATAACATATTTATGTTATAATTTTCGAATAAATTATATATATAATTTTTTATTTTAGCATACAGAAAATTACTTACATTTATTATCCGTAATTGTGCGTATCAATATGAAGTATATTTATGCACTGTGCATCTATACTTAACTGAAAAGAACTGACAAGGTCTGTTTCATTTTTATTGCATTTTTTCAATTTTTGAAAAAGGTGTTCAGTAGTGTATTTTAAATTCCGGATAAACTGTACGAAAACAATGACACAATATAACAATATGAACTTCAAACAGTTTATACGGAATTTCTACGCAATACCTTATTCGAAACTTGGAAAAAAATATAATAAATTATTGACTAGCAATGCATATTGCACATGTGGCAAAGTAAGTTGTTCTGTAGTGGCCTTAGCATGTTTTTTTTAATGTCTCGCAAGTTGTCATGTGTTGGATGAGACTAGAACGGTTTCGGCTACTTTATTGACATACTTCGGATGTTAAGTTCCCTTCCAGCTTATGCTAATCGTAAGTTTTCAAAGTGCTACTAAGACAACTCTTTTTGTCGAATAAGACCTGCATGGGAGAAACATACTCTATCACATTCATCACATTCAATTGATGGATTATAGGATCAATAAGTTCCTCTTTCCTCGTTTCCTTTCCCAATTTGGATTTTCTATATGGCAAGCCGCAAAATCTCTTTTAAAAAATCCTTAAAGTAGCATGCATACATATATGGTGGACTCTCCTGTCGTATTGGACGTATCAGCGTCAAGCAGATCAGTTCCCACGAACCGACAGACACCAGCACATATGATTTGATGATAGTGGTGATGGCTTTGTGCAGAACCAACCACACTTTTTGAAGGGTCGAATTGTTGTAGAGTAGTATTTAAACTAAGTCGGTCCTAAATTAGGTTCGACGTACAAAACGTTAGGAATTCGCAATGATAATAGTTAATGACGCAGTCATCTAGTTGTGGGGGTTGATACTTCAATGTCCGACATCGACAAACTCACTCAACACCACTGAGCCCAACTGGCGACCGCTACTACTACTACTACTTATTATGTGTGGGAGAGTCTATTAATAATAGAATAGGTACGTTCAGTTATGACACGAATACAGAGACCTGTTGAACTACAAGGTTCCCCAAATGCCCCTCTGCAGGTTTTGAATTCGGAATTGTCCTTCTTCTAGACCAGTTGCCATCCAAGGCCATAGTACCCAATCTGTTCTTCTATTAACCTATAGCTGGAGAGAGAAAAGGTGGATTAATACATTTCCCAAGTGTATTAGGATGTAAGTGAACGTAATGAATTTGACTGGAATTTGAACTCGGCTCTCCGATTCCTCAATCCGAGCCGCTATCCACTACTCCGTGCCTCCGTCACATACATACATACGTTATTTTAATTTTGCAATTCTTGTAGAAGAGTGCTCACTATTGGAGTGAGTTCAACTCGAGCAGCTTCTTCCGACAAACCCCTTTGAAACTGAATCCCAAGAGGATGCTTCCCTGATCATGACGATTGGTCATGTTTCTACTTGGCCGTTCATTCCCGATTCTAGGGACAGACCCCTATTAACTATTACATCCTCTCCGCCTTTTAAACATTGTATGCTCAAAAGGTTATATAGGCCGCAGATCGTTAAATAAGTGATCTGAATGTTCATTCTTTAAAAGAACTTAACTAGAAGTCAAACCCAGGGCTGTTTTTTAAAGTTCTTTAAGATGTAGGTATCTGCCATTTTTAATTCTTTGTTGAATTTCTAATGGATATCTGGACTTTAAATATTTTAAAACTTATTAACTTTTTATTTATTTTTTAAACAGGAGTATAGAGGCTTTTATATCGCTCAGTCCATATTCCTCGCCTTTCTCTTGAACAGGTGTAGAGTCTCATTCCTTGTTTCCTTTTTAGGAAGGTGTTCCCAGTTCTTCTCCTTTTCTTAGGCCTTAATAGTAGTGCTGTAATTTTTTTTGTGATTTTTTTTTGTGTATATCGGGTTGTCTCGTTGCTGTTCCCGACTGGAAGGTACGATCCCGCATCACGCGTAGCGACTAGAGCGGCTGCTCAGATCAACAGTCGCATAATATCGGGGTTCTTGCAGTGCCATGTTGTGCACGGAAGGGCGTCCCAGGAAGCAACTCCAGTGGGCAACCCCGAGACCATACTATATTGCAGTCTGGGCGTGTTTCCTTCCCGTACATGTTACATTAAACGACCGAGTGCTATATTACTATCCTAGGCCTTTGCTTACCAAAATAACCATGACTATAAGCAACTAAAGACATAAAATTACACCAGCAAAACAAAAAAAAAACATTTAATCATGTCAACCTTTCTTTCTTCAAAATTCGTGGTATTCGTGCCAGTTCCTGCAGTTTGGAATCGTTCCTCTTCGAAAACTCTCTCTCTGTTAAACCCAGTTAATTATCACTTATTTCTCTACCATTCCCCGTCCTCGCATCACTGTTGCTTGCAAGATAGTATTTCTGATTATATAGACAAAGCCAAGTCCCTACTCACGTTTGCTAATATATTTGTGTTTGGTGACGTTAATGCCTACCATGCCAGGTGACTTAAACACTGTCACTGACCTAGCTGGCGAAGAAACCCTGAACTGCTAAATCACTCAAACTCTCACGAAAGTGGTGGATTTCCCGACGCATTTCGGCAGTATCCCTGATGGGCACGCTTCACCTCTATTGCTGGTTCATGTCGTACTATGCAGATCTGCCCTCATGACAACTCTGATCATTCTTAAAGACACCAGTTTCATTTTCATCTTCTTTTCCTTATATTTTTAACTGTGTGGAATATAAAACCTTCCTTTCTCATATATATATATATATATATATATATATATATATATATATATATATATATATATATATATATATAATGACAGAAAGAGCAGATGCAGTAAAAATTCGCTGTTGGTAGCATTTACTTTTAAAAAAAG